TCTCGCTTTCAAAAAAAAGGTTCTGTAGTATGAGTTCTGGAGGCGTTTTCGTCGCTGGAGCACGAGTCTCTGTCGCCAGTGCTGGAGTACGCACGCCGCCTGCTTTGTGTAACAGGCTCAACAAATTAGCTTTTTTGCAACGGACGTATCTGCGCGCACAATTCGCGGGGACCCCTGTTTTTTTTTTTTTTAACTTCTTAGCTTTCCGTTGCATATATAGCTCTCGTTTGAGCACATCAGCGTGCCGATCGTGTCAAGCACTGCCGAGCTACAGCACAGCCCCCACCCACACCCCTGATGTGGGCCATCTTTGCCCTTGCTGGGGTCCTGCTGCTAAGCATGGGACGGGCGAGAGTAGACCCAGAGCGGACCCAGAAGGCTGTCGATGCAGTACGCAGCGGTGGCATATCGTTTCGGGTTACTGCAGACACCTACGGGTTGAACCCGACCTAGCTCCACCGCCGTGTGAAGGAGGAGGTGGTCATAGATGCAAGGGTTGGTCCCGGGACTGTCCTGTGCAAGGAGGAGGAAGATTTCGTAGAAGATGTGTTGATCTACGCCTCCCGACACTTCTTGCTGTTTGGTCGGAGGGAGCTGAAAGAAGCTGTGCAGAAGATCTAGACTACATAGACGGACGCAAGGTGCCCCGGGACCCATACAAGGGCCCGGGGGACAGCTGGCTTGAGGGATTCATGGCGAGGCACCCGGGGTTGTCGGAGCGAGCCACCCACATCTACGAAGCAAACCGGATCAACGAAGACGACGAGCCTCGCCTTGAAGCCTTCTACGAGACATAGGAAGCGTACCTCGCGGAGACCAAGCTCACGCCGGACCGCATCATCAACACGGACGAGACAAGTGAGTTAGGGCAAGGGCTGAGATGTCAGTGGTGTCAGTATCGATTGCTGTGGGTTCGTAGGCGAAGTACCAGCAGCACTGCGATGTGTGATGTGCGTCACAACAAAGCGGAGTTTTGCTGCTGCAAAAAATAAAAATAAAAAGCAGTTGTTCCGCATGTCTCTCCGAGGCCGNGACCGCATCATCAACACGGACGAGACAAGTGAGTTAGGGCAAGGGCTGAGATGTCAGTGGTGTCAGTATCGATTGCTGTGGGTTCGTAGGCGAAGTACCAGCAGCACTGCGATGTGTGATGTGCGTCACAACAAAGCGGAGTTTTGCTGCTGCAAAAAATAAAAATAAAAAGCAGTTGTTCCGCATGTCTCTCCGAGGCCGCTAGGCCGCTGCTGCTTGCCATGCTTGTAGCACACAACGCGCATATGATGCTGGATCCGGTTGAGGGTTCAGCATGCAACAATCCTTGTGGTCATCTCAGTTATACTCTAGCACAGAAATGGTAGGGCTCATGTACGATATTCTACACGGTGTTTTTGTTGTGTGCCACACGCGACAGCGGGCGTGTGCGGTGTTGGTCCGCATGCACGTGTGTTGCCGATGCTGTGCGAAGTGCGGTCAAGTCGAGACTTCAGTAGGACACTTTGCTTTTGTAAACCCACCTTGGTTTCGAGCTCAATGCAAACTTTCATGGGTGTGGGGTTGTTGATCCACACCCAAAGTCTAAACGAATCCGACTGCTGTTGAGGAAAAAAAATGGTCCCTTCACCACCGCTGTGTGCCACCACCCGGTGCGAGCTGCGCTCATGTGCGTTTGTAAGCGCGCTTTTTTGTGCGTGCGAGCGCTGCTGCTGCGAAATTATGTGTACTCTACTGATTGTTCGACTGCCTCCACCCCCGATGCACGCGCGTTCTCCGGTGTGTGTTGTAGGTTCCACCCCGCAAGGTACAAAGTGGGGGAAGGCTATCGTGCCAACAGGCACCAAGGTGCCCGGCGCGAGGCGCTCCCACTCGCGAGAAAATACGACGGTGGTCGCCAGCATCGGCGCCGACGGCCAAACCTACAACCCTATCATCATCTACAAAGGCCAGCGTATGCAACCCGCTTGGATCCAGGACAAGAACGGCGTCCTCGATGCGAAGTACACCGTCACGGGGTCATCCTTCATCCAGAGCCACGTGTTGCTCGACTACCTTCGAGACCTGCGCGAACAGCTCGATGCACGCGGCTTGCAGGGCAAAGTTTCCCTTGTGCTCGACGGCCATGCCTCGCACACGACCTTCGACGCCATCAGCTTGGCCATCTCTCTGGACATCGACCTCTTCCAGCTCCCGTCCCACACATCGCACATCACCCAGCCCTTGGACGTTGGTACGTTCGGAATCTTCAAGAAGGAGCTCACCAGGGTGCTCACGGCCTAATTTACCCACTGAAAATCGGGGGGAAGAGTCCGGTTAAGCGCGACATGGCTGGCGTGATTGCGGAGGCATGGAGAGGGAGCTTCACGTCTGCAAATGACATGGCGGCGTTCAAAGGGGCGGGCTTGTGGCCGGTGAACATGAAGAAGGCCATCAACCGACTACACAGCAAGCGGAAGCAACGGGCGAATGACCGCCCTATCCCTGAAGACCTCACCGTCGTTGCCTCCAAGAAGCAGCTCGAAGAAGATCTCGGCCACGCTGCCCTACTGGAGCTGAAACGACAGGGAGTGATGATCGAGGGGCTCCGCGTGGAAACCGTGTTCCTCGGCGGGCTCACCCACTTCACCAAGCGCTCCAAGTCTTTCGCGACCGTTCGGGCGGGCGGGGAAAAACCCGAGAGCGGTCTCCTGTCCTCCGAAGAACACCTTGCTAAGGCCAGGAAGGACAAAAAAGAGAAGGAGGCAGCTGAGAACGTGAAGGCGGACAACGCCAAGGCCCGTACAGAGGCAAGGGCAGCGAGGGAGGCCAATCTTGGGCATGGGGGCCGGTGCTCGCGTTCAAGGAGGAGCGGGACGGCCGAGAGAGGCGGTGGTTCCCTTGCTTCAGCCGCCGCCGCCGTCGGCCCCTTTTCCTCTCGAGGACGGCACCCGACACCAATCGTTGATTTGTAGACTAGATGCTGTACANACGGCAACGAACCCCGACACCAATCGTTGATATGTAGACTAGATGCTTTACGGTTACCTTTTTTTTTATTCGAGTGAAGGATGAATTATTCGAGTGAGACATACAGAAAACGTCAGTTGAGTGTCGAGGTGCCGATATGCATTCCAGGGTTGTGCTTCAACAGCTTTTTCTTATACCACGGGGGGGGGGAAGGATGGGGGGTGTAGAGGTGTTTTCCGGAACCCCGGGGACGTTGAAATGCTGTCCCCGGGCCTGAAGGGCTTTTGATTTTTTTTGCTGCTTCGCGACTTGAGCTGATCGTCTTCAAAGGACCTTTCGATGGGGCGTTCGAGTGGTGGGAAACAGGTGCGGCTTTCTACGAGAAGTCCCACCGCAGTGCCAAGCTACTTTTTGCCTGGCCCAGTTTAGGTGCTTGAATGTATGTAGTCTATGTAAAGAGGTCAAATGAGCTCCAGACGACATAGTTTTTTCTTCCAGTCATATTGATGTGCCTAGGAGAAGCTTGGGGTGGTTTCTAGGGCTATGCAGAGATGCTTGGGGTGCACTCCAGCACCGGGGTCGGGAGGGGGGGGGGTGTACTCANGGGGGGGGGGGGGGGGGGGGGGGGGGGGGGGGGGGGGGGGGGGGGGGGGGGGGGGGGGGGGGGGGGGGGGGGGGGGGGGGGGGGGGGGGGGGGGGGGCGATACCTTGATTTTGCCGCGAAACCGGAGATGTGGCAATTTTGTCCCCGGGTGTGCATGGATTTTTTTTTTTGCAACAACGTTCCCTGTCATAGAAAACACCTATCCACAAAAGGGCACGATGTGGGAGTGTAAGGTGAATGTGAAACAAGGGAAATGGCCTTGGGGTCCCCGCGGAGAATTCTTACCGCAGCGACCAGGCAAGGTATGGNGGGGGGGGGGGGGGGGGGGGGGCGATACCTTGATTTTGCCGCGAAACCGGAGATGTGGCAATTTTGTCCCCGGGTGTGCATGGATTTTTTTTTTTGCAACAACGTTCCCTGTCATAGAAAACACCTATCCACAAAAGGGCACGATGTGGGAGTGTAAGGTGAATGTGAAACAAGGGAAATGGCCTTGGGGTCCCCGCGGAGAATTCTTACCGCAGCGACCAGGCAAGGTATGGCTGTTTGAACGGGCATTACATCACCTACGCAACGTTTTTCGTCCTAATTTTTTTTCAGGGAGTCGATATATGAGCAGAATGGACCAACTATGCATTAATCTCTTAGTTCTGGCTCTTTTCATGTGCGCAGCACCGCCGTACGGTCAAAAACGGTGTAAAATCCGTCCCCGATTTCAGTCGGGAAACCCGGGGATGTGAGTATTTTGTCCCCGGGCGTGGATCAGTTCCATTTTTTTTTTCTCAAATGGATACGTGTTGCAACAAAAAATCAGATCATGAAAATGTAGCGTTCTGAAGGAAAGCGTTGTTTGTGGAAGGCGGTTTCAATTCGTGGGAAAAGGAGGGGATAGGGGATGTGACCTGCCTCACCGTCCCCGAGTAAGCGTTCAGTTCAGTTTGCCCGTAAGACAGCCAAGCGAAAGGGAATAGCTCGGAGGACAGGTGGCCTCGCGAGCAGCGCCCCATAGGTTGCAGAGCCAGCTAGCAAAAACCGAGAGGCTGGACACACCAGAGTTGAGAGAGAACACGTAGGGTCTTGATCGATTTTTCCACCCGCCCACCCTATCGCTCAAGAGAGGGAGGGAATCAGGTTGCACAAAGTTGATTGGGGCCAACGTAAAGGTATTTTAGTTGATTTTTCTTGTTTTTTGTTTTTTGTTTTTTCTCCCTCTTCCAGTACTACTTCACAAGAGTAGTCGAGAGGGTCAGGTAGTCCCACGGGGGTGGAGGCTACCTTCGTACCGGGTTGGCTGAGTCTTTTATTTGGGGAATATTATAGAGACAGGGAAGGCTGGACCCTCGTGGGTTCGGGTCGTGTTCTATGCGTCCTCAGATTGTATGATTCAGTCCTGTTGAAGAGTAGAAAAATAATGCCAGAATTCTTGAGCCTATAACAAA